TGTAGGTGGCGGAAAGATCAGTTTAATATAAATATGCCACGCCAATGTGGGCAAGTGACCACTGTCCGTTGGGTCGAAGTTATGCGGCGCGACGACGCGGGACAGGCGGAGAAGTGCATTGTTGACGGAGCCTGAGATTGAAGGTGATGGCGGACCCGTGAATCACTGGGCGCATGGCGGTGGAAGAGGGCGGAGGTCTGGGTTGCCGCACGGTGAGTGACGCCACCCCCTATCCATTTGCCTCCATTTATGTGCATCTTGGTTTTCGTGCCTGAATGCTTTTTCTGACCGAGTGATGGTAGAGGTAGCGTATTCTTGGGAGAAAAGTCGACGAGGACAGCGACAAGACTTCTTCTTCTTCTTTGTTCTTCGTTAGCTGCTATTGAAATTCATATCGGCTCTTATTCACCCATCCTTCCTTTGCCGCTATTACTATTATTAGCGTTAACGGCGAAACCGCCACTCCCACCGACAACGACAGGCATGGAGATGGGATTGAGCAGGGAAGAGGGAGTTGAAGGCGTTGTTGCAGCAGACAAGGTGTTCAGCGAAAGTCCCCAGTGAGTTTTCGCCTTCGCAATGACGCCGAGCAGGAAGGTCTCCGGGCCGAAAGCGAGACCGGCCAACTCCCTCTCACCCACGTTGTGTATGAGGATGTAGCCCATGATTTTGGAGGCGTTGTCCGGGTCTATGGTCTTGATCTTCGACAGGAGCAAGTTGGTGGTGGAAGATTTGGGTTCTTCCCCAAAAACAATCAGATCTGGATTCCTTTTTTTTTCTGTTGCAGCTACTGTCGAATGGTGTTAAGAGGCGACCAATTTCCATTCTCCCTTCAAAATCGAACGAACAGATGTCGGAATCAAGCCCCACGGTGAGCGCCAATTGTTTGTATCATCTAGCTCCGGTACCAACAATGATATTTGTTGGTGTGGAGTTGACTCACGATCCGTTCGTCTGATCTCGTCGGGAGGGAAGGAACATATGAAAGAGCCGAGGATGCCCCCCGGATTAAGCTCGGGCGATCAAGTTAGTTTAATTTCAGGAGAGAGTTGAGAGAATAAGGTAGAGAGATAAGGTGTAGAGAGATAGTGGAAAGTAGAAAGTGAGAAGAGAGGAGAAGTCCCCTCCTTTGGAGGGCTTCAAGCCCTTATATACCTGTAGCGAGTATCGAGTGTTGCGCATTGCCGATTGTGCGCCCTCCTACTTAGTCTAAGCACGGAGTATTTCAGTAACACCCCCAACAGGTGGTATTTTTGGAATTTTTTAGGATTGGGTGGTATTTTTGGAATTTTTTTTTAAACAGTGGTATTTCTGGAAAAGTCTGAAAAAGCACTCACTTTATTTTTGTTGGAATAAATTTAAAATTAAATTAATTAGCATGTACAGATCGAAAGAATAGTACGTGTGTAAGTGTGAACTAAACGAGTATGCAAAGGTTTATTATCGTTTGTAATTACGAAATATTCGGCTGATCCAGTTCAGTTTAAAGGGAAAAATGGAGCATGAACTTATACACAATAATATTACCTTGATCAGATGCAGACAGGCTATTGAAACCAGCGCCAGATTGACCCCCAAACTCCCAAACCCAAAAGAAAAATTAAGCGGGAAGTATTAGAGTACCCTTAATTAATACTGAATATCAAATGGAAACCATAATACAAAAACCGTACAATCATCATCATCCTCCATTAGACATCTAAACTGAAACGCCACCGGCCTTAACCAGTAGCCCCATAATTGGTAATTGCGTCATCAACTTAATCTCTTCCCCTGTTTTTATTTCTTCTGCAAATCTCCCAGTCTCTGTCCATCTCTTTTCTCTTTCAGTAAGCCACCTGACGTGGCAGGAGCAGCTGCTGCTGGTACTGGCACTGGTTCACCAAGTCATCCAGCATCCAAAGATCCTCCGCCGCCGCTTCACCACCGCCTCCGATGACAGCCGGGATCCCCTCCTCCCCTGTCTCCGGCTCCAGCCCCAGGAACGATTCCAGGCTCGAGATTTGCTCTTCCAGCCCGTATCCCAGAAACGATTGCGCCTCCTGTTGCGGCGGAAGAGGCGGCGGAGGAAGGACGGTTTCGGCTCCGACGGCGATGCACCGCTTCTTGGCCGGCGGCTGGGTTTCGGGAGCAGGAGAGGATGAAACCGGGGCTGCTCCTTGTTGTTGTTGTTGATCTTCTTGTTCTCCTTGGCCAGCCGGCTGCGGCGGAGGGAATTGAAAGGCGGCGGAGATGTCCGGGAAATTGAGCTTGGCCTTGTCGCCGCGGATCCGCCTGGCGGCGCCGTCGTAAGCAAGAGCGGCTTCCTCCGCGGTGCTGTAGGTTCCCAGCCAGACTCTGACGCCCTTGTACGGATCCCTGATCTCCGCCGCCCATTTCCCCCACGGCCGCTGCCTTATCCCTCTGTACACGTTCTTCCGGCCTCTGATCTGCCGCCGGGCTCTTTTATCATCGTTATTGTTACAATTCGCCTTGTTGCTACGCTTTCCTTCATCATCCGTCGCCGCGCCTGCAACCAATTGAAGAACGGAAGGCGGAGTCGGTACCACAGCCGATCCCAATCGAACGACAAAGGGGGAAGAAATTGAAATCCCTAAAAAGAAAGCGGACGTGATTGATTTTTTTTTTTACCTGGATGATTAATGGGTTTATTAGCTTTGTTGCCGCCGGGGAAGCCGAAGCCGAGGAAGTCGGAGAGTGTGTCGAGCTCCGACCAGAGCTCCTTGGCCTTCAACCGCCGGCCGCTCTTCTCGTCGACGTAACCGGAAATAATCGCACCACCGCACATTTTTTTTGGTTTTGGTTTTGTTGTTGCTTGAAGGAGCAAGACTGAGGAGGGTTGGGGAAGGAGAGGACGAGAGGTAGTGGAGTTATATAGAGAAGGAGTACGGAAATGAAACGGTTACAGCAACTGGTCAGAGGAAAACGACAATCAACCATGAGTCGGTTGATGGTTGGCGACCCATTCGGTCTGTTGTCAATTTTTTTTGGTTTCGTTCTGGTTGTCGTTCATGTCAAGTAATCGAATCGATATTCAAACCGAAACCGGAAGGGATTGGTGTAATTTGTTCTGGTTTTCATTGTACACTGTGAGATAATTTTGAACCCAACTCACTAGCTAGATCAATTAAACAAACCAAATCGGAATTCAGTTAACTAAACCGAACTGGTATCTTTAATCCAAATTATGATCTTATGCAACTTGGGTTTCAATTTCGGACCGGTTTGGAACGTACTTAACGGAAGTCCCTAGCCCAGGTGGGGCTCACGTTTTCTTTCTGCGCTGATTTTACGAAGAGCAGTTTTCTCAACTAATTGATCGGACGGCGGAGATGGAATCTGGGGGAAAAGAGGAAAAACGGACGATCGGAAAGAAAGATAGAGAGGGGGTCGCGTGGAGGAAACGTGGCCGTCGGATGAGAGATCGTACCATTGAGACGACAAATGGCGTCCACGTGGCTGTCGGTAATTGGGGGAGCAAATTATGGGGCTGACCAAATTTCTTTGCAGAGTAACGCTCGTGAGCCTTTTTTATTTGCAGTCATTTCGGTTACTTACTCTGTCGGGATTTGATTGAGAGTTGGGCTGACAGAGGGATTCCTAGGCCCACTGATTCAGCCCACCGATTAGACTATTGGGCTTAATTGTGCAATTATGTTTGGTGGTCCCAAAATTAACACATATCCTCTTCTCATCCTATGCTGTGAATGATGAGTCCAACTCATTCTAAACATGAGGACACGTGGATCCTAAATTGTTAGCCAACTCAGCAAATGGAGAGGGAGAGAGAGAGAGAGAGAGAGAGAGAGAGAGAGAGAGAGAGACGGGATGGCAGGGAGCAAGTTGCTGCAGGCTGCGAGGAAACTGCTAAAGCTGTTAGAGGTTTGATATAAAGAAAGGGCGTTAGATTGGTTTCTGTTGGACAAATTGCATACCGCCCACGCCTTCCTTCCATTGATCTCTTCAATACCGTTCATGGCATCTTTCCAAGAAACAAAAAAAATAAGCGAACGGATATAACTTAAAGAGTCATGAATGCCGTCATTTCACTGCATGCATGGCAGCTTTACCCATCTTCCTTCTCTCATTCAGTTTGTCCTCTTCTTCAGCCTCTTCACTTTTCTGCAGTTCGTGTACTTTCTCTACTTCATTCTGTATCGAGATATTTTCTTTTCCCGCAGCAGGAAGGAATAGATGATGGTTGCATTTGGTCAGCTGCTGCTTTTAGTTTGTTGGTGGCAGAATGGGTTTGGTGAAAGTATGCAGCAGGAGGATTTACTCTCTTGTTGGTGGGCAATGATTGTTTGACAGTAGTTTTCAGCAGAATAAATGTACAACTAGTTCAAATCAAAGAAGTACATACTAGTGTCCATATGTGGATATGGAGAGCTTATTGGGTTGCTCAAATCGGATGAATATCAAGAATCCATGATAATGCCCTAGATATCTCATCTTCGTATTTATATGACAAGCGAGAAGGCACGATAACACGCGAGAGATACTTTCACAAAGGTGAACATCGCACTACCATGATCGTCGGTTCAATCATGACAAATAAGGAATCTCATAGCTTTCTCCTCATCAGCAAAAATCATCTTTTGGTTCCACGGCTATCAGTAAACCAATGACCAACTTGGCGGAAATGGTCATAGCCTCATCATTGAGAAAGTGCTCACGGGGGGCACACACTCGACTGGGCGAGCTATGAACACGATACCCGAGTTCACCAATGATAATAGGATTGTCGATTTGACTGCAGTAGGTAATTCGAGGCACAAAGACAACCCGGCAATCACATAGGTTTCTCCTCCCAAGCAAAAGTAAACCAGAGTGTAATCAAAGACTTCCAATTGATCAATGACAGAGGGTGATTACTGATTCAAGGCATTTAGTTTTGACAAACAAACACTCCTGGTAAGTGATATTTTTCACAATAACATTAGTATTCTCTTATAGTTCAGTTGCAGCAGTATACTACTCAAGGAACCAAAAATGCTTTGATGGGCAATCATGAAAGTAGGAGACAATAGTGATTATTACAAACAGAAAAGGCCTTGTTTGAGTATTGTATTTGTATGAATCTCCTATGAAAGAAAGAACAAAAGAGTATGGGATGAAGATGAATTCTTCACTCACATGCAAACAGAAATGAAAGTGAAAAAATGGAATACATGCAAACTCCACAATCGTAATACAGACATTCTGGCAGAAAAGAAAAAAAGGGCTCCCTTTACCCCACAATTTCATAGAGAGGGGGCAGAAGTGTGTAATCTGAAAAGAAAAGCTAGAATACAGTGTAGAAAGTGCGTACTTTTTCTCTAGTCTGCCATTTTGGACAGGCGATGAACTGTACTCCTTGCGATCCGGTTAGCTGGATCAATCTTAAGAACAGCCCTCAGGTCCTCCGCACCCAGCCTGTACTTCTCCATACTCTCATATAGAAGTGCTCGCTGGACTAAAACCGATACATTGGTCTCATCTCCTTCAAGCACCTGCCAGAATGCGAATAATAGCAAAACGTAATTACTACAATGGCAAGAACACCGGGTTTAAGGAAGAGATTCGCATTGCTAATGGGAAGTAAAAGAGGCCCTCATAGAAAAGCATAAGCCATATTGATTTGGTGTAATTGTGAACTGATGTTATCTGTGTCAATTGGAAGTTGTTTATTTTACATGCTGTTACATGTGCAATTTGGAAAGCCTTGTTTGGTTTAGTTCAACTATGCAACAGATTCTGCCAAATGACTCTTCTGGAAAAACTTGAGTGGGCAACCCTTGAAGGGTGAGAGACTTCTCTCAGTACTAGGTTTCCATCGGGAAATCAGACACTAACCAACAATTGTAGAGAACCGACAGCATAGTGATGGTATAATCATTGACAAGTAAAAGAGAAAGACAAGATGATACCATTGTGCAGTCGGCGACTGCCTTCTTGTACTCTCCAACTTCCTTATAACATGAGGCTCTAGTCGACAGAACTTCAGCAGATAATGCTTTATCCTTAGATTTTTCAAGAAGCACCACAGCCCATGACAACCACTTAATGGCATCAGCATACTGCCCTTGCTTTTGATGGTCCACACCCTTGCTCTTTGCAGCAGAAGCAGAAACCCCTGCAGGAGGTGGAGGAAGCCCTTCGAGCTCGGTAGTGGTGGGGCCATCTGCACCATCAAACCCTGAGTCCACCCCCCAATCATCAAGTTCTGAGAACTGCTGCCCTGCACCTGCCGAAGATGCTGGTGCAGCACTTCCTGCTGAAGAGTTGAAGAACATCCCAAGTGGATCACTGCTTGTAGCTGGAACTGAGGACTGTGTCTGTTTCTGAGAGCCAAAGTCGTTGCTCGGCATTCCAAAGTCAAACCCACTAGAAGGAACTGAAGTTGAGCCAGGTTTTGAGGCTTTTGGGAAATCCCCAAATGGATCTTTTGCACCAAACCCACTAGAAGGAGTTGAAGTAGAGCTTGGTTTTGAAGCAGTTTGGAAGTCACCGAATGGATCATTGACACTAGAATTAGGTTTATTATTACCTTTGGGACCAGAGTTAAGGCCACTACCAGATTGAGAAGGTTTTGACGAGAAGTCGACTAGAGAGACGAATGGATCCTTGTTTCCCCCCATTATTCCTCCGCTTGCAGCCGCCATCCCTTTCATGGAAGAACCACCAAGATTCGTATTCGTACTCTTATTACCATTCACACCCACGTTACCAGCACCAGCACTGCTGACGTTCCTATTAGATCCCCAACCAGCACCACTTTGGGCCGAGTTACTACTAACCTTAGGCAAAGAATCCGCCATATTACCCATGGAATAAGAACTCTTGCTTGGTGTCGGAGTCGCATTCTTCAAAGGGGCATTGCTCCCACTCTTGTTCCCCTGCCCCAAAGCAGAGCTCACCAGATCCCCAAACAAATTCGGGTTCTTCTCTGCAACCCCAATCCCTATCCCGGAACTCTTAGCAGCTGGACCCGTGGATCCCCAGGTCTTGCCAAATATATCTCCAACCATCGAATTCGGACCCTCCAACCCAGCGCGAGCTGGCTGACTCGTCGCCGCAGCAGGTTGGTGAGTCCATGAAGGCTTCCCCGGTTGAAAAGCAGGCCTCGGTTGCGACCCCGTTGCAGATGAATACGAATACGAAGAGTAACCGGACGAGTTCTGATTCCTCTGTTCGTTCAAGGGTTTAGAACGATTCGATCCAAGACCCAGATCGAAATTGAAGTTATTCATCGACCCAGACGAGCCTTTGCCGTAATTCGAGTTCATGGCGGAATCTACCTAGATTAAAGCAAAGAATTCGGAAAGAGATCGACCGGGGAAGAAAAATGGGCACGTACCGAATTGAATTCGAAGAAGGTGAATCCAGATCAGGAACGGAGAGATCGCAAGCTTTTATCCGTTACCTTCACGGTTTGCTGTGAAGGGAGAGAGATAGGATCTGGATCACCGGTCTCTGATAAGTGATCGCCGGGAAACCGGCGGAGAAGAGGAAGAAACGGTGGAGAGGGCAATGGGTTCGTTTTATTTTCGGACAGTCGGTGTGATTGAGCTCCGGTTGCTTTCTGGACCCTTCTATTTTCAGCAGAAACGGAAATGGCTCGAGCAGTTATTGTGCTGTGTACTGAAGGCTATTTCTGGAAACTCGTTCATGAAATAATAGGCCCATTTTGGGAGCTTTTCTAGCTTGAAGCCCAAATATGGATCATGATTAGTAATGGAGAGAAAAGGATGATAATTGTTCATAATAATATGGATCATAATTCTAGGTGATCACGATTGTGTACAATTAATCATTTGAATTTTTAGATACAATGAAAGAAAATTTTGTAGGATATCGTAATTTAAAAAGAAGCGAAACATTTAATAGATACCCCAATTTTTATTCAATATTTAAATGAATAGACTGAACCCCGATAATATTATCAAAGGGTCACAACCAGTATGACAAAGCATTATTCGATGTTGCAATTGTATGTCAACCAATAGAGAGTGACCTTAACGAGATAGTCGGTGACGACATTTGCTTTCCTGTACACGTGTGTAATGTGAACCTGCCAATCTCGAGCAAGCCACCGTCGTACTTCTACTTACACAAATAGCAATAGGGAGCCACTCTGATGAATATAATGGTAGAAACTAAACACAATTTATTTTCAAACCCTATACCCTTCACCGCCACAGCAAAAGTCTTCAGTAATTAGTAACACACTAATATGATATTTTACTTGAGCCAAACTCTGGTTCAATATTTCAAATCACAGTTATGTTTGCTTCAGTAAAGACCTGTAGTTTTGAAGAGTTCTATGATATCCATTAGCTCCAAATATTAACCCATATAACTTTCTCAAAGTTTTATTACAACTCTTTCTATGGTTCCATCACCAAGATCCAGATCGAGTCTCCAATGCAATTTCACAATCAAACTAGTGGTCGACGCAGAATTAATCAGACTATGAAGGCGCTAGTTATGAAGAGGCTCTGTTTCGAAAATGGTTTGAAAGAGACTTCACAAAGTTTCAAACTCAAAAGCTAAAGATTGCCACACTTATGATACAGAGAGCTACATTCAAAACAACTAGGATGTACCCATAAGCATGCTGGACTATTTGAACATATTAAGACCATTAAAAAGATTTAAACTTCATAATTTGCATTGCCAGTTTCCAACTCTCAGTTGCAGACTACAGAGGAAAGTAAATCCTCATTGAAAACTATAAAGCTGTGGGCTGTGGCTTGTAAAGCAAATAGTCCCCTCAAGACCTGGTTTGGTTAAACTGCTGCCCTGGCTGCTGCTGCTGATTCATGGAGAAGCCAGCATTTTGCGGTATAGATTGGTTCTGGCCGGCTCCGATAGATGGTGGTGGCAACGTTTGCACAGGATCTCTCCTGACCTGCATTGTCTCCCTCCGACGATCGTACCGTGGTCGAGGCCTGTTATGCCTACTGTTCTGGCTTTCAGTGAACCAATACTGCGGCCTGTGGATCACCTTCCCGTCCACAAAAAGATCGCCTGGTGAACCACAATAGGTTATAGGTCGTAGAAGCATTAAATTCACATATCTTACTATAAGAAATAAGTTCAATCAATGTTGGAAGCAAACACCAAAGTACAAACCTCCATAATCCTTGTTAGGAACGTCAAGGTATGAATCTGGGAGAACCCACAGAACTCCAGGCAACTCTGTTTCCAAAGCACAACGACAAACAAAGGGATCTCTCTCGAATTAGTTAAATTTTCAAGTCAAGAGAAGGCATAAGCATAAGCAACCAGAAGCTAGCTACAAAACTAATCTACATTTCAGAACTCTGCGCTAAAACCCTAAAACACTCTCATCTTCAGAACCCAGAACTCTAGTCCAAGGTCCAAATGCCAGTAGCTAAGAACTAGTACAGATCGACATTTCAGCTTCTCTTTTCACAATCAAAGCCCTGAATCTAAAACCCTGAAACCCGCAATTCAAAGGGCAAAACTTAAAAAGGAGCTACCTTTAGCTTTGTAAGAGAGCTCTTCAGAGATCAAAGCACCAAATCCAGTGTAGGTCTTGGTAGCAACGGAATATATCTTCTTCTTCGCCTCTTCCTCACTGTAACAGCAGCTGAAGTTAAGATAAGGGGGTTCGAATCGGAGAGAAAAATGACGACAAAGAGATTCCATTTTCTGTTTTACCTTCCAACGACGGCGGCGAGGGTTTTGACATAGGAGTTAATCATCTCTTCCTCGGAAGGTTTTGGATCGTTGGGAAACTCCATGACGATTAACCAGTGCTCGTAGTCGCAGCCGTCGAGCATGATCGTCTCCTTCGGCGGGCGGTTGCTCCAATTCGGCGACGGGTCGTTGAGCGGCGAGTAACCCGACCGGGAAGTCTTGAATCGGGTCGGAACATTGAACGATTGCGGCGGCAGCCCGGTGGGAGAGGATTTGTCGAGAAGGGCCGAAGCGAAGCGAAAACGAGAAGACAGCGAGGTGTTTGAAGTAGATGGAGAAGAAGATGAGAGTGCTCGCGATAGAATCGAAGCCAGGGTGCGACGGGCTGTGAGATGCGCCATTGCAGATTGTCGTTCGAGGTCGCCGCTTCCGGAAGAACAATAACCGGCTTCGATTTTGTACGTTTCATAAATAACCGGCTTCATAAATGGTCACAAACCTATTCACTTTGTACAAAACGGTCACAATTCTTTAATTTTGTACGTTTCGGTAATATATGTTTGAGCAAATAACAAAAAGGTCAATCCGTCCAATTCCGTCAAAAAATCTGTTACTTTTGTCCAGTCAACATGACACGTCATCAAATATGTTAATAAAAAAATAATTTAATCATTCGAATTAACCACACAACCCTAACCGGTTCAATAGCACGGTTATGTACCCACCCGGCCGATTCCTTCAATTTGGCTATTAGCAGCCGTAGTAGAAGCGACAGACAGGTCGCAGTCGCAGGAGTCATCGTTCGGGAAGAGAGCAAACTCGACGACGGTGGACTTCTCGGGTTCGCTGTAGAAGAGAGAGGAGAGGCGCACCACTCCGCCATGGAAAGAGGAGAGCCCAGTGGACGTCCACGGATCTGCACGCTTCCGCCACCGGAAATCCCCTCCTCCCTCCGGCAGAGCTGGTAGACGAGGAGCATGCTGTATAAGCCGTTTGATCATATGGATTTCCTGAAGCTAATGGAGAGAGATGTCGGGAAGGCATATTTTGGGGATGAACTCAATGCTCCCTTCTCAAGGCTTATTATGGTATTTTCCTATTGATCCATTACATCCATCACGTTTGTGGGGAATTAGTGCTTAATTACTTGGCCTTAACAGTGCATCGGTACCTACCATTCAAGGTCTTTCCTTGGCGGAGCGGCGCCTCTCCCTCCATTTTCTCCAGCGAACCCTAGAATCCCACCGCCGCCGAGTTCGCTCTTCTGAGGCTGCGGCCGTGGCCCGTCTGCGCTTCTGCTACTATTGCTAATAGCCAAATCGGATGAATCGGGCGGGTGGATACGTAAGTGAGCTATAGAACCGGTTAGAGTTGGAAGGGTTAATTCGAATGATTAAATTATTTTTTTTTTAATTTATTTGATGATGTGTAATGCTGAGTAAGCAAAAGTAACGGATTTTTAGACAGAATTGGACGGATTGACCTTTTTGTTATTTGCTCAAACTTATATTACTGAAACGTGCAAAATTAAAGAATTGTGACCGTTTTGTACAAAGTGAATAGGTTTGTGACCATTTATGATAATTACCCAACAATAACCCCAAGTACCCGACACTTCTCGTAGTAAGCCTGACTTCGAATATAAATTACTAAATGGCCATGGAAAAACTGATGAATAGCTAGCTTAGTCATCCAAGTTAGCAAAATGGTTGCTCGGGGAATAAATCCTGCTAATTGTTATAAACCGCTAGTCGGTCACAAACCTTTGTGCACTTAGTACAAAACAGTTACAAATATTTAGTTTGCAATGATACGGTAACAAAAATGTGAGCTTGTACGAAATGGTCACTTCTGTTAGTCTCCATCCAAAATGCCGTTAAATTTGCCCTACCAGCGTCCACCTCATTAAAAAAATTTATATAAAAAAAAAACCAACCTAAAAGTCGAAATGGCTAAAGTTCTGCATTTCACTTATGTACCCCCTGCATTCATTCGTGTCATGTCACTCATGCGTAGTAGACTGATGAAACTCTCACAAGTTTCGCTTATGCGGCCTGTCAGCTCGCTCCCTCGGGCGATATTTCCCTTCTCTCCTGAAGCGTCAGTCTTCTCTTTGATTTCTACTAGTGCATGTATACCGCTTTCAATGGTGCATGATCTTAGTAGTCACGTCTCCTTCCTCGCGATTCCGGAGACTATTTCTTCCTAGGGGGACATTATGCTCGCGTCTTGCTTCTCTTTGTGTCTTTTCTCATCACGTCTTCATGTTTCCTCCCTTGGGCGCTCTTTTGGAACCATCGTCTCTTCCAGCAGGATAGCCTGCCTCGCCAGCTTGTCAAGGTCAATCCAAGATCGTAATATGTGTTCCTTCTTTACTAGTGAACAGTTCAACTCCTTACCGTTTTTGACATTCTTAGGTTTCCAGAGGCCACTGCTGGGGAGATGCATTGTATCTCGCTTGCTATGGAGTTCCACCTATCAAAGAACTCAAATAACGCTTCGCTTTTACCTTGCTGAGAGTTTATCAATGCCATCACAGTGAGTTTTATACGGTTATGAGAGGTGTACTTGGAGGGGAATAGAATGGCAAACTGTTCAAACGTATTAATGACACCTTTCGTGAGCGAGGTTTACCAAGTATGACATTGCCCTCCGAACGTGACAGGAAATGAGCTATACTTGTCTGTGTCTGAGACATTTATTAGTTGCATCTTGAGGACGAAAGAGCTAAGATGATCTGACGAGTCAGTGGTGCCATCATATGTCGGTAGTTATAGATAGGAGAAGTTATGCGACATTGGGATTTTGAAGAGACTTTTGTTAAGAGGGTTGTGCAATACACTGGGGCTCTTGTTGTGACAGTACGGGATCCCAAGTGCATCTCTAGGTATCAAAGGTCGGGCTCCGCGTCGTGTTTATCTTTTTTTCTTCTTCTGAGTCGTCAATATCCTCTACGCTGATAGGGGCCTTTCCTTTGTCTTTTGGATTTGAGCTAGGATCAGGGATTTCCTCCGTTTGTGCTCTAGGCGGGCTGTCTATCTTCCTAAGTAAAGTTAAGATCTACTCTAGGCTTTCTTGCACGCTGGTTTTTTACTTAATCTTCTAGCTCTACTTCATCATCTACTAGGGATGACATGTTGTCGACTGTTCCTCTATGCGTTGCTTTGTCGTCGATCATATTCTTTAATGGGGTTCGAGAAGTTTCTCCCATGGGAGTAGATTATTGTGACACAATTGTGGCCTCACAGTGGGCGCCAAATTGTTTTGTCCACAAATTACTTGGAGCTTCAATGCCGAGGGTATGGCCACACATTGACATTAGTGAGGTGTCTTCATACTCCCAAGGTGTCTGGACTTCTCAGACCACGCACAAGTGGTCCTCGGGCGGGTACGTCCAGGATGCTAGTGATGGCAATGAGGCGAGGCGAGGCGAGGTGGGGCAGGTACTTCAATACCCATGTCCCTCCCCTCTCACACTACTACGGGCCAGGGCGGGTAATACATGCGCGGGTACGGGGCGGGGCAGGTCGACCCACTCTTACATGCTATTTGAAAATAATCACACAAAATTTTACATTTTTACGATAAAATGAAGGAATACACTTTATGAATGAGATATAGTGATAATAGAACGAGTCATTGAGTCTAACTAACTGAAAGATCAAGTCTAACTAGTTAAAAAAGCCAAAATAAGAGAAATATGAATAGATACCATAAGAAACTGTGATAGAATGAGTCAAGAACGGGGCATGGTGGGTTGAAAGTAGATACCCATGTCCCGTCCCACGCTACTGCGGAATGGATAATATCCGCTCCATCGTGGGTTAGGTCGGGTAATACCCAGTTGGATGAGTTCAAATTGTCATCTCTAGATAACGCTCTCCGAAGTTTAAGTTAGAGAGATGTTGGAATTTTGTTTTGAGAAATAGAGGGTAGTTGAATTCACCATTAATGAGAGGTGAGTCTCTATTTATACTTACTCTTTGGTGGTTGAGCGTAATTAATGTCGTGTCAGGCGTTCATTTTATTTCGACCAATTAGAGACTAGGGCGTCTCTACGAGCAATATATGCTGGTCTCGGGGTCTGTGGTGACTGGTGAGTGCTAGACTCGAGGCCGACATCAAGAATATTCCTAACCCGGGTACTGCTCCGAAGATTGCATTGGGAACAACCCCAACGAGGCTTTGTGAGACAAGTTGCTCTTAATTGGGCCGAGCTTTGCCTTCCTTCATGGCTTCATTTGGGCCTTTAGTCGGATCAGTTGGACATTTTTAAACGTATAGTCGTGAGTCGTTACCCAACAATGGGATTAAGGTTTGTCCGCCATGCGCCAAGTCGTGTTCGCCTACCGCTATTCTATCGTCCGCCTGCTCCATTGACAGCTTCATTCATTGTCTACCAAAACCTATCGCCTAGAGAACTTTCGTTTGCCATGAGTTGAGAGAATGCGAGAATAGAGAGAGCCGAGCGATGTTGTTATATTGTGTGTCAAGGGATAGTCGATTGTATTGACAGTTGACTCAATATGAATGGGAAGGGGATTAGGCCATTAGGGTTAACATATGTTAGGGTTTTAGGCTCAGCTTGTGGGCAGGGCTGGGGATTATTGGGGGTACTAGGCTTGGACTAGGCAGGCTGGGAGTTAGGCACTTAGGCTTCAATGGTTGGTGGGATTGGGCTCTCAAATAGGTTCAGTTTTAATCGGACTAGACAGGATTAGGTATGGCAATCAAACCCATGCTCACGGGTATCCGACCGCCCCCGACCCAGTCAATGCGGGGAATCCCCGCATTGACCGGGTATGGGTAAAACCAGCAAAATTTTTGATGGGTATGGGGCGGGTATGGTTTTAGCATCCCCCACCTCATAAGCATACCCATACCCACCTCACCAAAAATATTTCTTCATATATGAAAAATATGTGAATCAATTTGCAACCTATCAATAATAGTGAGTATAACTCAAGAAAAATATATAATAGAAATGCAATTGAGTGGCCATCCAAATCAAAATCTAACTTCTTTCTCTCAATTTTCCCTTCACTCTTTCACTTTTCCCCTTTTAACAAAATTATGTTAGTTAATTATTACTTAATAGATGTATTAGTGTAGAGAATAATGATATGGATGACATTGTACTATACTCTGATATGGATTAATGGACGCTTTAGGATAAAGTGTTTTGAATCGTATTAAAAATGATTGTCTCTTTGTCGGCTTCATTTAATAGTAGGTGCATGTAATGTTTAATTGAAAATCTACATGTAAATATTCGGTATTATAATGCTGGATGTACAGGGGCGGGTATTACCCATGGGTACCCGAAACCCATGGGAATGTGGATGGGTTTGCAAAACCTTCCCTCGCAAGGGTATGAGTATAGATATTTGAAAGCGGGGATGAGGATGGTTTAGGCAAACCCGCCCCAAACCCGCCCTATTGCCATCCCTAGATAGGATTGGCATTTCTCCCCTATAGTATAACCGGCAACTGGACCTACTAGTTTGTTCAATCATAAGAATGTGTGGTTATCCCGTTTCTTGTAGGTTGAATCAAAATGAACTCACATCTAAGTTGAGTTGAACTAATTATTGTATGATTCAATTTTTTTATTTCATTCTCTTGTTCAAATGAATGACTTTAATGAAAACCATATCAAACTAGGTCGATCAAAGATGATATTTTTATCCAACTATGATCTTCCTATTCCCCTTTGCTAAAGTATTAACAATTAGTCTACAATTATCTTTTAGCATCATAACCATAATTATTATTAGATATTAACTACACATATTATTTTCACTCCGTTACATCACTCTGAGTAAGAGGAAGCCAAGTACTGGATATAGAGGAGTTTATCTATCTACACTGTGAAAAAAACAAAATCAAAATACTTGTAAGTTTGTAACATTCGAGATGATAACGTGACGGTTTGACGTCTAAAGTGGACAACCCTGTTAACTAACGAGTAACGATGTGTAGATTAAACCCTATGTTTCTT